GCTCGCCCCGCGGCCGCTCGAGGGAGCGCGCTGCCAGCCGCCGACCTCTGCGCGACAGGTCCTCCGGGAGCCGAGCCCAAGTCCCGAAGACCTCTCCAGTATATAGTCCAAAAAGGAATGGGCCACAGAGCAAGACCCTGGGTTTATAAGTCCTAACCTCCACCCTTCCCCGCCGGGGGCTGTGAGCCACACCCTAATTAACGCCTTGACGGCGGGCCCAGGTCATTGCCCGGCTCTGGGAATCGGGGGTAATAAAAGGAGCGACACGTAGGTTACGCTCACTGTGCCAGCAGTTGGACTATCTTAATTTCAGCCTCTCTGCAGCTCATTGAAACGAGTTATCCCCGTTTTACAGATGAGGAAATGGAGGCCCAGGAAGATGAAAATAACTTGCAAAATGTTCACATAATAGTTAATGAAGACAGAATTTGATTTTAAATAGTCTAGGTCCATCGTGAGTCCACACCTATGAATAGGTCAAGGATATGAGGGCCAGAGGGATGTCAAAACAACTTAGCTCCTTCAGACAATAGTCGTCTGTCCCCCTTCCCTCAACAGTGTCTGGCACAAAGGCAGCAAATAAATACTTTAAAAAAAAAATTTAGTTGTAGGTGGACACAATACCTTTATTTTTTATTTATTCATATGTGGTGCTGAGGATGAACCTAGCACCTCACACGCACTAGGCGTGTGCTCTACCGCTGAACCACAACCCCAATCCTGAAATAAATACTTCTTGAATGAATGAATGGCTGTTTCCTCTGATGACCTACTCATCAGCAGTAGATCGTGAATCATTACAACCCAAGACACCTCCTTCCCTGACACCAACCCTCATCCAAGAAGCACTAAAATCTATTACTTGGTAAAAGTAATTTTATTATAACTATTAAAAAGAAAAACTAAACAGTTGAAACTAACAAAACATCAGCATCAATTAAATCTTACTGGATTAGGTCAGATTACATTAGATTCTAATCAGATCCCCAGGAGCAAATTGACAATGCATATGGGCTAACCTTTCCCCCAAAGCAGAAAAGCCCAAGCATTCTTCCACATTCCAGTTCTGGAAGAAAACAAAAACAATATAAATTGTTTCTTCAAATGAACATTCACTCACTCTCTAGCTAGAAAGCCCTCCCTGCCATGCCCTACACCTCTATTTGGTGTCCCGCCACAAGCTCCCTCAATAATTGACCCCTTTCAGAGAAACTCAAAAATTTTCTGTCTTGTCAAATACAAAAACAACCTGGAATGTCTGCTGCCTACAATAATACAACCACATAATCAGCCTTGGATGAAAAGCTCATACAAAAGGGCTGCTGCTGCAGCACTTGCTTGTAGAGTGCTTGCTGGCCTAGCCTGTATGAGTCCTGGGTTCCATCCCCAGCACAATAAGGAGGGGGGATGGGGGATGGGCTGGGGAGGCCCACATAAGATTAATGACCATTCACTTTGTGCCCTAAACTCTATCTAGGGGTATAAAGGAAAAGGCACTGAACCAAGTGTGAGACCTGGAGTCTCTTCTGCACAGCAAATGCTTTTACACTTTACATTCCTTCCATTTTGAAAATGCAGCACTGGTGTAATGGAATACAGGCTGGTTCTTAAAGCAGAATTGCTGACTAACTGACCTGGCGCATACTTGGGACGCATGGAACATTTTGCAAATGTTATCCAGGGAGATCTCAACAACCAAAATGAAAAGAAACCCCACTTGCTGCTGATGGCTTCTGGAGAGGGTGCAACACCCTTTGCCCCCCCTGTAGTCAGTCTACAAAGTACTCTGACATTTGGATATTGTGACTTCTCTGATGAGCAGTTAATTACATATGTTATTATATATGTTATTGTCTGACTTAATAAAAAAAAGTTTTCAGCTGGACATGGTAATATATACCTATAGTCCAGCAACTCAGGAGGCTGAGGCAGGAGGATCACACAAGTCTGAGGCCAGCCTGGGTAACTCAGTGAAATCCTGTCTCACAGTAAAAAATAATTAAAAAAAAAAAAAAAAACGTTGGGAATGTAGCTCAGTGGTAGAGTGCCCTTGGGAGGAGCAGGGGTACCAGCCAAAAGTTTATGTTCACTGGAGGTTACCACTGTAATTCTTGATTTACACAGGCATGTTCAACACAGGAACAAATTGCCTAAGATCAGGGTAGTTTTGTCAATCTCAAATCAGCAACATTTAGCACACAGATGACATTCAATGAAAGTTTGTTGAAAACTGAACTAATCATTAAACTTAAGGCAAGATCATATTTTCATCTGAAAACCTGAGAGGGGTTCTCTAGCCACATACCAACACTATTAGAGCTTCTTCATGAGAATAATTAACAGATAATTAATAATTAACTTTCTGATTATGCCCTGAAGATGTGTTTAAGGCTATAGTTGGGTAGAAAAATGGACAGGGGGGCAAAGGGTGTGCTTTGTACATTTTTTGAGTTTTTGCAATAAGTATAGTCTACTTTCATAATCAAAGTAACTTAAAGATATTTTAATTTAATTTTATTTATTTTATTTTTTTAAAGAGAAAGTGACAGAGATAGAGAATTTTTTAATATTTATTTTTTAGTTTTCGGCAGACACAACATCTTTGTATGTGGTGCTGAGGATCGAACCCGGGCCGCACGCATGCCAGGTGAGCATGCTACCGCTTGAGCCACATCCCCAGCCCAGATATTTTAATTTCAGAGAAAAGGAATCCCAGGCTGGCTCATATTAGGAAATTTGAAACACTGGAAGATAATAAATAATGATGAATCATCCATCTTGTCCTCAACAGCAGAAAAAAGACCCTCTCCTAGAGTTTCAAGTGACATTCTTCGGGCTGGACAGACCCTGTACTAAGTAAAGGTTACTGGCTTGAGCTCCACCCCCACGCCACTGCCCTGGGCTCTGCCATTCATCTTATCAAGTGGGTAGCATCTGAGGTTCTCAGATGGTGGGTACAGGGAACACAGGCTGGGGCTCAGTGCCGACCTGAGTTCCAACCTCCCTCTACCATGCTAACTGTGTAGCTCACAATTAAGTTGAACTCACTGAAACTGTTTCCTCCTCCTTTCTAGACTTCTTGTGAGACCTGTCATCATGTTAGGTGAGTTAAGTTGAGTAGTATTTTTGAAAAAGCAGCAATTGTTAGGAAAATGCATTGCCTCAGTCAAGAGCATACTGGGATCTTCTGTAAAACAAAGTGAAAACTCCTCTTCTGGGCAATTTTGTTCTTCACAGCTGTGGCTACGGTTCTTCCAAAGGGCTCAGGTATCTGAATTTACTATGTCCATCTTTGTTTCACATCCTTCAAACACATTCAGCTGGTTGTTTACTCAGGGATGGCACCTTCCTAAAGGATGTGTTTCACACTGGCCGGATTCACTCCTCAAATACAGTAATGGAAATGGAGATGGCCTGCTCCAGGGAGTGGTGTCTAAGATTCAAAATCCACACCTTTCACAGAATGCCTGAAAGTTGGATTAAACTTTCCACTAGCAACTTAAGGATATCAGACGTGGATAGCCTCTGAGGTTCTTTGTGTGAAGAGAATATATTTCAGCATTCTCTCACACCCTTGGAGAGCAGTCTGCAGAGAATCTGTGTTTTCCAGAAAAACAGCTACCATGAAAGTAAAAAAGTTGGGGCGGAGCTCTGTGACAGAGCACATGTTTAGTAGGCAGGAGGCCCTAGGTTCAATCCCCAGGATAAAAACAAATTTTAAAAAATCAAAAAGTAACGGGTGTATATTTTGATACTTTTAAACTTTACCAATGCATACAAATTGTATTCAGGTAATAACCTACATGTCTTCCCTTAGCTCTTCATCTTGTTTTATTTTTGTTATAACACTTAACATAATTCGAAATTACCTTAATTAGTGGTTCCTGTTTTTATAGTCTCTTCACATTATGTGAGCTCCAGGAGCATCACTGTGCCCGGACCTAGAAGGTACTCAATAAATTGAGTTGAATGAAAATTACCCCCCAATACTGCACAGATTAAATGAAACTGGAAACGTGCTAGCAACCAATGATGTTATCTTCGTCAGTCTTCATTGTTTTCTAGATGAGGGATTGATACTTAAGAAATTTTAATGAGAGCATGCCCTCAGCCCCAGAAATAAATGTGTGGTCTTTGCTGGGAATCTTTACTGGAATAAAGGTGTCAGAGTTTGAGCTGAACGCAGATAGCCTCCCACTGGTGGAAATGGAAAGGAAAACAGAGGAGGGGGACAAAGAGGAAAGGAAGGAGTGGCTGACTGACTTGCTGGACTGTTTTTATACTTTATGTTGGCAGGGCTGTGGACTTTCTGTGTTTCGTGTTGTAAGATTACAAATTCTCAAAGTGATCTATGTCTCCCATCTATCTTTAAGAAAATAAAACAAAAAGATTAAAAAGGGAAGTTAAGTAGGAAGAATAAAAACCCGGCATCACAGACTGGGGTGAGAACAGCTGCCACCTGCTGAGTGTCTTCTTGGTGGCTCAGCTCTGTGCTGCCTTTATATACTTCATCTCCCAACATTCCAGTGATCTCCTGAGCAATTTTAAAAATGGAGAATCCAAGGCTTCAACAGGGTAAGAACAGTAGAGTAGCAGAAAGAGAATAGGGGGAGGAAGGAGGGAAAGGAAGGAAAGGGAAGGAAAGAGGGGGGGGAATGAGGATTGAAATGGAGTAAATCCAAAACCCATGCCTAGATGATTTTATCAAAATGAATCCTCCAGGGCTGGGGATGTGGCTCAAGTGGTAGCGCGCTCGCCTGGCATGTGTGCGGCCCGGGTTCGATCCTCAGCACCACATACAAAGAAAGATGTTGTGTCCACCGAAAACTAAGAAACAAATATTAAAAAAGTTCTCTCTTGGGGGATAGTAGAGGATAGGAAAGGTAGCAGAATACAACAGTTATTAATATGGCATTATATAAAAATGTGGATGTGTAACCGATGTGATTCTGCAATCTGTATTTGGGGTAAAAATGGGAATTCATAACCCACTTGAATCTTAATGTATGAAATATGATATGTCAAGAGCTTTGTAATGTTTTGAACAACCAAAAAAAAAAGTAAAAAAAAAAGTTCTCTCTCTCTTAAAAAAAAAGGGTTGTACAATAGGTACACATCTTTATTAAAAAAAAATGAATCCAACTACTATGTATAACTATGCTGCTTTAATAAAAAAAATTGCTCCCTCACAATAAAATAAAATTTTTAAAAAGGCTAAGGAACGAGCTCCAATTTGGTAATGGATGGACCCAAACCGTGAACAAGTCTGCTCAGCTCCAGCTCAGTGCACGGGCCTACACTCCAGGCCTAAAGCCTGGGCGCCGATCACTCCTCCTCCACCCCCTCCATGAATGACTCTACCAGGCCTGCTTCCTTGTCTGTTAACAAGGAGGGCTAGACAAGCTATGGCCACAGTACCAATGAAGATGGTAATGCCACTGACGCCTGTTTAAAATGTGCCAGGCACTGTGCTAAGCAATCTGCATTAATTCTCAACTTTACCTTTAGAAACATTTTGTAATATAGATACATCATCTCCACTTCAGAGATGAGGAAAGTTTCACTGAGGATTTGTTACCTCCCCAAGGTCTCAGAGCTTATAAGCAGCACTGCCAGGGCTGAAGAGTCAGGTTTGTATGGCACCCGAACTCAAGCTCTTTGCCCCTGAGCTGCTCTGTTTCCTGTTGCCTGAGAAGCCACCTGGAATACCATCCAACACTTCATTCATTCATCCAGCTTTGGTGTGGGTGACTTGTGTGCAATGAGAAAGGTGAAGGCAGTATAAGATGAATTTGGCTAGGAGTAGGAGCAGATTATATAGGGTATTAGAGACTATGGTAAAGAATTTGCATTTTATTCTGACTTAATGAATTCTAGATAGGGAAGTGACAAAACCTATAATACCTTGATAAATATCCACATATGCTCACAGAGCACATGAAAGGTTTGACTGTCCCCTTATTCCTGTCATCTTTATGTCTTTTTCACCATTTCTCTCCCTTAAGCTCTATATTCCTCAGGGATGGGTCCAGAATCTTTGCTTTTGTAATTACACACTCTTTGGGTACTCCCAACTGATCTCATGGTTTCTATCAAAGGGCTGGTGCTTCCCATATCTATAGGGCTAGTCCCATCTTTTAGATTTCCTGGAAGGAGTTCAAAATATGTCTGGACAGACATTTCCTCTGGTTCCCCTGAGCCTGTGACTCAGCAAGGGATGGAATTTGTTATCTTCTCCATAAACTTGTTGTCCTCTGGGGATCTAGGGGCTGTTGAGGGTATGAGGGTGCAGTTCAGTAACAGAGCTCTTGCTTAACATGAGGCCTGGGTTAAATCACTAGCATGGCCCACACACACAAAAAGTAGCTGAGGGAGTGAATGATACCTTCGGAGAGGCCTGACTGCCTGGAGGGCAGGTGGTGCTTTCAGAGAGAGACCATGTGACTGAGATCTTGCAGGAAGGAATTTGCCAGGTGAGAAGTGAATGGAAGAGGACTCCAGGTGAAGCAACAGCAGGTCTAATGGGATTACAGGTCTGCTGGAGCTTGGGTGCTCAAGAACATGGACAGACACACTGCTAGAGGTGGGGCCTGGAGGGAATATGATGGAAAGCACCACGGAAAAAAAGCACCATTCTTTGTTAAATACCCCACCTGATAAATATCCACACATGCTCACAGAGGACACTGATTAAAGGGGTTGTGGGACTAGAATATTCTACCTTGAAGACAAAAAACAGACTATCTGAACACAGATGCCAAACCAGCCATACGGAACAACCACATTCAAACTAGCACGACTTCCTACAGCCCTCAAGGAACTTACTCTCTAGAGAAGTCCCTGTGACCACAAAGCAGAGACTTTCACCCCAAAGATAGGCCTATGCCGGGTGCAGAGTGCACGCCTGTAATCCCAGGGGCTTGGGAGACTGAGGCAGGAGGATTGTGAGTTCAAAGCCA